CTATGGCTACAATAATGTAATTAATCGTACAAGGGGCTATGACCACAATAATGTAATTAATCGTACAAGGGTCTATGACCACAATAATGTAATTAATCGTACAAGGCCTATGGCTACAATAATGTAATTAATCTTACAAAGGACTATGACACAATAATTTAATTAATCGTATAATGGACTATGGCTACAATAATGTAATTAATCCTACAAGGGTCTATGACCACAATAATGTAATTAATCGTACAAGGGTCTATGACCACAATAATGTAATTAATCGTACAAGGGTCTATGAAGACAATAATTTAATTAATCCTACAAAGGGCTATGACCACAATAATGTAATTAATCGTACAAGGGTCTATGACCACAATAATGTAATTAATCGTACAAGGGTCTATGACCACAATAATATAATTAGTCGTACAAGGGTCTATGACCACAATAATGTAATTAATCGTAAAAGGGTCTATGACTACAATAATTTAATTAATCCTACAAGGGTCTATGACCACAAAAATTTAATTAATCCTACAAGGGTCTATGACCACAATAATGTAATTAGTCGTACGAGGGTCTATGACCACAATAATGTAATTAATCGTTGAAGGCACTATGACTACAATAATATAATTAATCGTACAAGGGGCTATGACCACAATAATGTAATTAATCGTACAAGTGAATATGACCACAATAATGTAATTAATCGTTCAAGGGACTAGGACCACAATAATGTAAATAATCGTACAAGGGAATATGACTACAGTAATTTAATTAATCGTAAAATGGACTATAAGTACAAAAATTCAATTAATCGTACAAGGGACTATGAACACAATAATGTAGTCAACTATTCAAATGGCAATGGCCACAATGATGTAGTCAACCGTACAAAGAGCTATGACCACGATAATGTAATCAACCGTACAAGAGGCTATGACTACTATAATGTAGTCAACCGTACAAGAGGCTATGACAACAATAACGTAGTCAACCGTACAGTGGGGCTATGACAACAATAACGTAGTCAACGGTACAGTGGGGCTATGGCAACAATAACGTAGTCAACCGTACAGTGGGGCTATGGCAACAATAACGTAGTCATCGGTACAGTGGGGCTATGGCAACAATAACGTAGTCAACCGTACAGTTGGGCTATGGCAACAATAACGTAGGCAACGGTACAGTGGGGCTATGGCAACAATAACGTAGTCAACCGTACAGTGGGGCTATGGCAACAATAACTTAGTCAACCGTACAGTGGGGCTATGGCAACAATAACTTAGTCAACCGTACAGTGGGGCTATGGCAACAATAACGTAGTCAACCGTACAGTGGGGCTATGGCAACAATAACGTAGTCAACCGTACAGTGGGGCTATGGCAACAATAACGTAGTCAACCGTACAGTGGGGCTATGGCAACAATAACGTAGTCAACCGTACAGTGGGGCTATGATGACAATAACTTGATCAACTGTACGGAAGTTTATGGTAACTTAGTCAACTGTACAAAGTTATATATCTACAACTGGATGGTAATTAGTTCCAAGTGACTGAAATAAGAAAAAGATGGTCACTATTACTCTTTTGTGTGACCTCGAGTGTGTACAGGTAGCAATTATCCGTTTTCTGGTCTATATTTGTAGTAATATTGTAACTATAGCTATTACCATCAGCCGATGTGTCGCACCTCAGTAGCATTTCGGTAGTGCAAATCATCCGTTAACTGGTCTCTAATCCTCTCGTATTAATATGTCAGACGTGAAAATTATTCGTTGTTTTGTCAACAGTTGTTGTTGTTTGGCTTAACGCCATTTCTAAGTACAAGAAAAAATACATGGCGGCCCATATTAATGGTGGAAGAAGAAACCGGGAAATCACCGGAAAGAACCACCGACCCACGAGAAGTTACTGGCAAGCTTTCTCACATATCCGCATTCGCCGAATCCTAGACTCGAACTCACGCAGACAGAGGTGAGATGGCAGTGATCCGTAACGAACAGCACTTGGACTACTCGGCCATTCGGGGCCCCTTCTTGTCAACAGTCGCACAGCGACACAGTCTCGATAGTGAAAACTGTGGTGTCTTTTCTTAGTGAAAATTCTATGGTGTTTGTTCTTTAGACACCCCTTTATAGTATTTTAGTAGTCCGTTGAAAAATCTACAGCCAAACATCTATATTACTGCAGTAGTGAAAAACTATCCATTGCCATATTTCCAGTTACAGATCAGTATTATTGTGACAGTGAATGCATCCTTTGCCTTGCTCAAATGGCACCCATATCATATTATGGTACTTAAACAAAGCGTTGTCTTGCCTTGTTTCAAGTCACGCCGCTATAAGATCTACGTACTGAACACAATATATCGTGTCGATATGTCTAAAGTCGCACTTTGATAGGATCATGGTATCATCATTGTAGTGGGCGAAATAGGTTAGTAGTATATGGGGCCACATTAGCAACCTTGGAAATTTATCATGGCTAAATTTAACATGGAGTGAATGTGGAATTAAACATATTGATAAAAGGGTCCCGTCATGTTTGCATCGAGGGGAATTTTATATTGGGGAATTTTATCATGTGTGGGCTTGTCTATTGTTAGGGGATTTGGACAGTATAGCGACAAGGGGAAAATGAAACATAGCGACAACGTATTAGCACTGTATATGGTCAAAAGGGAATTGAACATAAGGGATGTATAGCGACAATGGAAATCCTTTCATAAAGGTCTTGGGCTCTCTGGTGACAAAGGGAATTTAACATGGGAATGTATTGGACCTGTCTAGCGACAAAAATATTGAAAATATTGGGCCTATCTAGCGACCAAAATATTTGCCTGGCTAGCAACACAAGTATTGGGTTTGTTTAACGTCCAAGGGAATTTAACATAGGTATGTATAGGGACAATGGATTGAGACTATATAGGGACAAAATGAAAGGAAAAAGTTGGTGACATCACGGTACTGGATATTGGCAACTATGTAGTAGTTGATAATCTTTATCGGGCAAAATAGTGGCAGCGGAAAAAAAATCTATAACTCCAGGCGTGGCAGGACATATTACATTATAGACACAGAATCACATATCAAGCAATCCATAATGATGAGAGTGCTAGTCTAAGATAAATTTTTATTCAAAGCAACACACCATCACATCATCTACTATCAACAAATTATGAAGATGAAAATTCATCATTTACATAAACGTATCATCATCTACAATCACATCAGTAAAAGTGTCAGTATTTATGGTGACACTACTTTCACACATAACATAATATTTTGTGCAGGGACAAGGGTTTTGTTATGGAAAAAGCAACACACACACTTATACAAAAACGTAAGTGCACAAAAAAACATAACATACATACACGCACATACACACAGACGTACGTGCAAACACAAATACAAACATACACACAAACGTACGCGCGCATTCAAAAACATACACACGTTTTGTTAAGGGGTAAACTTGTTAAGGGAAAGAAAGAAACAAACAAACCAAAACAGACTTCACGCGCACACAAACAAAATACACACACACAAACAAAATACACATATGCACAAAGGAATGCGTGCATACACAATACATACATTCGCACACTATTTTTGTGTTTAGGGACAAGTAATATTTTTAAATGGAAAAATAAATAAATACACACACAAACACACAAAACTCCGAGCTTCAGCTGAACCAAGCAGAAGATCACGTAGTTAATTATAAATAAGTGTTTTGATAGATTTGATTAGCCTGCTAAGCTAGTCTATGTGATCTGTTATGCTTTAGAATATTATAATGTTTGTGTATTTAGAGACATGATCAGCTACGCTATAGCTATGCGGATTAAAATTTTGGCGTCGCTTTCATGTCTAAACAAACAATGTCCTTAAATGTGTCTCTATAATGTCCGTTTTCTATGTCATTTTTTTCATGTCCCTATTTTTTTTTCTTTATTGTAGCTAAGTTATTGGCAAGTAAATAAGACAGAGATCTGTTCGAGAGGCTCTGTGATTTAGCTGAACCGAGCATATGATCTCGTAGTTATCTATAGAATGGATATTTATAAATTTGATTAGTTAGCTACATTTTATATCCATTGGATTTGTATGTCTAGTTTTTGTCTTTATAGTGTCCTAACATTGTCGCTAAGTGTGTTATGTCACTATTTTTGTATTTTATAGTCAATATCTACTAGAGACTAAGTGGCTGCCCTGAATAAGCTCTCTACGGTAGATAGGTAGTTAGGTAGGTAAATAGGTAAGTAAAATGAATTTGATAAGAACAAAGGGAATTTGTATTGGAGCAAATAAGGACCAATACACAAACACACAAACACACACACGCTTCAAATGTTGTGTTAGCTTCGAATGTAAACGAAGATGAAATTTCACAAAATAGACTATCCCTCACACCACGAAAATACTATCCATAACATTACCTATGCTATTTAACATCCATGTTAACACACTATCCCAAACTTCTTTCTTTTTATCAGAGAATGTAAACGAAGAAAAAGAAATCTCACAAAAGACAATTCCTTACACTACACAACTATTATCCATCACTGCACTATGCTATCCAGCATATCATGTTCACTATCCAAAACACATTGTGTTCGCTTAGAATGTAAGAGGAGATGAAATCACACAAACTATCCATCCCTTACAACACACAATACTGTCCATTACACCCACTATACAATCCATTAAATCATACTCACTATCCAAACGCACTGTATTAAGCTTAAAATATGATGTGATGTGACGTGAGTATGACTTTTAGCGTAGCTTTAATAATTTTTCAGTCATATCGCTACGATGTTTGTAGTGTGGCAGTTTATAGTGAAGTCTAGAACTGGGGCATCATGCCACAGACATGTAGCATGATGTCCCACCCAGTCACATTATCCTGACAGCAGGCCGAGTAGTCCTAACACTAACCTCTTAATGCTGAGCGTCAAGCGAGGCAATTGTTAGTAACATTTTTGTAAAGTCTTTGGTCTGATTCACCGGGAATCGAAACCACAACCACCCGCATCCGAGGCGGACGCTCTAACCACTAGGCCACCAGAGCGGTTAAGTTTAAAATGTAAAAGGAGATAAAATCTCACAAAATAGACTGCCTCTTACACTACCAGAAATACTATATGGAATAACTTTAGTGTGCATTTATAGTCATAACTTGTAGGGAATTCATATGGAGAAACCTAGTATATATTTATGGTCTCAATTTGTGTGACGACCTGTTTAAAAACGCTAGTGTCTAGTTATAGCTACAATCTTTGACCATATCCAGTCCCAATCCGTTGTCGCTATGTTCTAGTTTCCCATGTCGCTAGACAACCCATATTGCTTGACGCTTAACGGGACCACTCATGATAAAACTCTCCATTTTAAATTCCCCTTGTTGTCAAAGTGATGGGACGCTTTATTAACATAGAAGTCTCTATTGTTCCTAGAGTATCCCAATTCCTTGTCAATAACTTATACCACTATCACTCCATGTCAACTTTTCCACATTGTATATACCCATTTTTAACATGACCGTCCCACCACTATCGCTAGATTGGCCCCATATACTACTTCCGTTGTATTTGCTTGTCTGAGTTAGCAAGTCTAGCATCATGGTAGTGAAAGAAAGCCGTTGTCTAGCCTTGTCTTAAGTGGCACTTATATGATATCATGGTACAGAAAGTATCATGGTTGTTAAAGAAATATGTTACCTTGTCTCATGTCGTACCTCTAAAGTATCAAAGCAGTGAAAGCGATACGATAATTTGACTTTTCTTGTCTCACGTCGCACATCTGTAGTGTGATTGTAGTGAAAGCAATACGTTGTTTTGATCGTAAAATCCCATGGACGACACTAATATCGACACGATAGCATTGTGTGGGTGTCTTGTGTTTTCCTCCAAACAATCCAAACAAAATATTGGGTATCGTGTCGTAAACCTGACCAATAACATGTGTAATGTTCTCTCTGATTAACTAGATCCGAACATAAATCTTGTTATTATACCTCTGAGTTCCTGTAACTATTATTAATTTATATTTTTGATATTTGGTAATAAATCATTTTATGCAAGCACTTATATTTCAACAAATGGTTATTTATTATTTAAGACCTGTTGATCGATTCCAGCCATTAGAGATAAACAGTATAAGGCCACATGAAAGGTTGTGCCGTACCAAGGCAATTGCTGTACAGAGACCAATACATCGATTACAATGGAGGGGTATGGGCAGGATTCGAATCGGTACCGTTCTGGTCACAATTCTAGCACTCGAATTTGTTCCATCTTAGGTTAAGGTGGAATGTATTTAATTGATTCTTTATGAGCAATTTCATTCAGCTAATATTTTTGTCCTTATTTCATCTAGGTATTATTTTCCTTATTTCATCTAAGGAATATTGACTTATCTATTATTCACATATTTAATATTCTCTTCTGCTGACTTCATGTAGATAATATTGTCTTTTTATATCATCCAGGTAATATTACCATCTCCATTTTCCATCCAGGTAATAGAACTATCTATATTCCATCCAGGTAATATTGCCATCTCTATATTTTATCCAGGTAATAATACCATCACTATATTTACTCCAAGTAATATTACTATCGATGTACTCCATCCAGGTAATATTACTATCGCTGTGTTCCATCCAGGTAATACTGTCACCTCTATAATCCATTCAGGTAATATTACCATATCTATATTACATTCTGGTAACATTAACATCTATACTTAATCCGTGTAATATTATCATTTCTATTTTCCATCCAAATAATACTATCTCTTTTTTCCATCCAATTAATAATATCATCTCTATTTTCCATCCAGGTAATATTATCATCTCTATTTTACATCCAGGTAATGCTGCCATCTCATTGTCTTATCAAGATAACATTGTCATCTCTTTACTTCATCTAAGTAAGATCATCCATGCTTTACTTCCTATGATAATATAAACATCTTCTTTATCTAGGGAATAGTGCTTGCACCTTATTTCATGAAGGCAATATTGCGTTATCTTCATTTTATCAGGGCAATATTGTATTGTCTTTATTTTACGTAGGTAATATTTCCCTTTTGTTAATTCCTCATAGTGGCATTGCATTTTCGTTAAGTCATCAGGGTATAAATGCCTAATAGTTAATTCATCAAGGTAACATTGTATTATCGATAATTCATCAAGGTAACATTGTATTATCGATAATTCATCAGGGTAACATTGTATTATCGATATTTCATCAAGGTAACATTGTATTATCGATAATTCATCAAGGTAACATTGTATTATCGATAATTCATCAAGGTAACATTGTATTATCGATAATTCATCAAGGTAACATTGTATTATCGATAATTCATCAGGGTAACATTGTATTATCGATAATTCATCAGGGTAACATTGCCATATCGTTACTTCATCGAGGTAAAATTGTTTTATAGTTAATTCATCAAGATAGCATTGTATAGTCGTTAATTCGTTAAGGTAACATTGTCTTATCTTTACGCATCAAGGTAGCATTGTCATACCGTTAGTTCATCAGCATAACATTGACTTCTCGCTAACTCATCATGATCAAACATTGTCTTCTAGTTAATTCGTCATGGTAACATTATCGTCTCGTTAATTTATCAAGTTAACATTATCTTCTCGTTAATTCATCAAGGTAACATTGTCTTCTCGTTCAATCATCGAAGTAACGTTGTCTTCTCGTTAATTCAACATGGTAGCACTGTCTTATCTTTAATTCATCATGGTAACATTGTATTATCTTTTATTACCATGGTAACGTTGTCGTCTATTTGGTTCATAAGGCTAACATTGCCTTATCATTAATTCATTATGGTAACATTGCCTTCTAATTATTTTATTAGGGTAACATTGTCTGCACCTTAATTAATCATGGTAACATTGTCTTCTGGGTTGTTTATCAGGGTAACATTGTCTTATCGTTAAGTCATCATGGTAGCATTGCTTTATCATAATTTCATCACTGTAACATTGTCTCATCGTTAATTCATCAGGGTAACATTGTGTCTGGTTAATTCATCAGGGTAATATTGTCTTGTCCTTAAGTCATCAAGGTATAACTGTCTTGTTAATTCATCAATGTAAAATTGTCTTATAAATACGTCACCAGGGTAAGATTATCTTGTCATTTATTCATTAGGGTAAAATTGCCTCTCGTTAATTGATCAAGGTAACAATATATTGTCTTTAATTCATGAGGATGATATTATCTTGTTAATTACTCAGGATAACATTGTCTTCTCGTTAAATTGATCAGGGTAATATTGTCCTATCTTTATTTCATCAATGTAATTTATCTTCTAGTTAATTTATTAAGGTAACATTGTCTTCTCGTTAATTCATCAAGGTAACATTGTATTCTCTTTACGTATCCCGGGTAATATCGTCTTGTCGTTAATTCATCAAGGTAATTTGTCTTCTCGTTAATTTATGAAGATAACATGGTCTTTTCGTTAATTCATCAAGGTAACCTTGTCTTCTCGTTAATTCATCAAGAAAACATTGTCTTCTCGTTGATTCGTTAAGGCAATATTGTCTTATCGCTTTTTTATCGGTGGATATTGGTCTCTCTTTACTTCATCTACGTAATAGCATTGTGTCCTTATTTACCAAAGAAATATCGTGTTCTCCTTTTACCCTGGCACAAAATGATTTCATCTGAAAAGTATCATCAAAACGATCAATTATATATTAAAAAAGTATAAATTATAATTATATTTTATAATATCATCCAACAAACCTACGTCAAAACGTTTCAAAAGCAGTACACAGATCAATGGAATTCATCAATACGTAGGTTAATTGATGCATGTCAAAAGAAACATTTGGAGAGCGTACTTGTAGAATCGATATTGATCGTAAAGAGCCGTAAACTCAAATGTATTTTTATGATTAATTAAATTTATTCTCACGATTTTGTTTTGGCAGTTCGAACTATTTTCCTACTAAATATAATCAAAGAATGAAGAATAGCTCTCTATATGTAACTGTCTGAAGGAATGTCAAATATTGGACTACACTGCCTATCTACCTGTCGCTATGTTGGCCTATTAGCAGGAATAGGGTAAATAGATCTACCAATAATAGATGATTAATTAAATAGCTTACAATAATCTTTAATAGGAAAGACAAAAATATATCCATAGTCGACAGTGCTTGAAGCCATCTTATAATACGGGTGCATGTTGCAAAGTTTGGAACACTCATCTAATGAAGATGGAAGGCTTTGAGGAACTATACGATATCTGAACATTTAACATCCCATTCTTCTGAAGAATAAAACTACGGTTGTTGATTCGCAGTAGGGAAACGAGTGCCAATCCTGTAGCGGCAGAGAAATTGGAGTGTCAATTATGTAAGTAGCATGGAAAACTCCGGTTGCGCAATATTTCTAATTGGTTTGTTTATAGTGATGTTTGAGATATAACAAAGCTGGAGATGTTGTTTATAAATGTAGCACATATTTAATAATCTATTATTTCCGAAAACTTTAACAAGGAAAAAACAAGCTAAGTGTCAACCAAACACAAAACACCAACAGAATGCAACTCTTCAATGGTTGGTATGAATAACGATACTTCGGAATCAACAAAAGGAAACACCATACGAATTCAACTCTTCAAGGGTTGGTATGAATACAGATACTATGGAATCAACAAAAGGAAATGTCATACGAATTCAACTCTTCAAGGGTTGGTATGAATACAGATACTACGGAATCAACAAAAGGAAACACCATACGAATTCAACTCTTCAAAGGTTGGTATGAATATAGATACCACGGAATCAACAAAAGGAAATATCATACGAATTCAACTCTTCAAAGGGGTTGGTATGAATATAGATACTACGGAATCAACAAAAGGAAACACCATAGGAATTCAACACTTCAAGGGGGTTGGTATGAATACAGATACTATGGAATCAACCAAAGGAAACACCATACGAATATAATTCTTCAAGGGTTGGTAAGAATACAGATACTATGGAATCAACAAAAGGAAACACCATACGAATTCAACACTTCA